TCACGACTTAAAACAAACCCATTCTGCAGCAGGAAAATAATCCAATTTATCAGACTGAAAATTATAGCAATTGACTGGTTCCACTTGTGCCTAATGGGGTTACTTTGCAAGGCCCCGACAATATAATACAAGTTGCCAAGTAAAGACTTGTTTTTTGGTAAAATACACAATTGTACAGATGTCAAAAATAAGAGACAAGATTAAGCACACAGGACTAAAAAAGCATTACATTGTGATCATGTGACTCTGTGGCAGAGAGCAGCAGTAAATTCTTTCCTGGGAACTACTGTAACTGACAGACTTCTAGTTTTCTAGTTCATTTCTTTGTAATTTCTGAACCAATCCACATGAAACAAAAACTGTCACAAAGTTCCACATCTACTTTGTCAATCCACATCTACTATGGGCAAATTATCATCTCTCGAAAATGTTGTCTCGATGTGGTGACAATAGTCAAAAACATATGCATGATGGTGGCAAGTAGAAAGAACATTCATCAGAATTATATGGAGAGTTAGGGAATCTAATCATTTGGATATTTTCTTTTTCTATTTTTTTGTAATTGGTGAAATCTTCAACATGAACGCAACCGATAGGGGAAGTTAAATGACGAAGTTGTAAACTTTTCAATGTGCCAGAAACCTGGAAGCATGTTTGATTATGTGTAGGAAACGTAATAGACAAAAGGTTTTAGTTAAAAGGAAAATAGATTTATCTTCTGAGAGATTTTTTCTATGGCTTTAGATAATAAAGTAATACCATATGTTATATATTTTAGTTCATGTATAGTTTCTTACAAATATAATTCAGTATGAGTATTTCCAGTGCTGGGTGTAACGCGTTACACTAACAAAAATACTTTTTATGGGGAAAAGTAGAGTAACGTGTTAATTATTGTCAATTTAGTAACGTAGAGTCGATTATTTTTTGATTCGCCGTTCAACTTTTTATTCACCATGGGCAGCTGTGATCACTCATCTACTGGTGCTTGCACATCAGTCACGACTCATGCGGAAGTTTTCATTCCACATGGTATGTGACACATGGTGAAGCAAGAGGCCACTAGTGGTGGTGCTGCTCATGGCGGAGTGTCGTGAATACTAAAGAATACAATAGATATATGTGCTAAATTAATAGTTGGTGGAAGCTGGAGGGTCAGTAGTGTCTCTCGTTTAAAGGCGACACTGTTTCCGTTACTATGTGTGGAGACAATGGAAAATGAACAACAAAAAGTTTCATGACTCTGTCTGTGAAATGGACTATACAAATAACCAGTTATTCTGTCATTTTGTTCTGTGAGAATTGTGTGTACAGAAGGTTTTGATTCATAGAGCTGATTAGGTGCAATAGCTGATCTAGAGATGGAAGAGTCCACTGAACACAATTCTGAACATTGTAAAGTGCATTGGGCGACCTTGGTCTGTGAAATGTTCTTAATTACTTACATGTCAAAACAATAGAATCAATTCGTTTGGACTAGCTGTCTGGAATGTATCTATTTTTATGTCATTTGGAAACAAGGTACTGCGGCCCAGAGTCTATTCCTAAGCATCCTAATTATACACAGCATTTATGAGAGATTTTCACACCTTTCAGAAGCCATAGTGACGACACATGGCAAAGCTAATAGTAAACTACTTCTATCACACACTTAGTTTAAAATAAAATGACACTGAAAGCACATAGTTGCCTCTGTTGTATGAAAAAAGTGCAGTAGGGTCATTATGGCACAAATACCTGTATAAATTGTGGTCACATACATTAGTAAGTACATTTGAGAGTGGAGCATTAGGTAACAAAAGTAGAACTCGTTCAGCCATAGAACTGTTTAAATTAGAGCAACTGTTACTTATAATATGGGCTTTCTCTTGAAGCAAAACTAAAATTGAGGTTGGCAGACGCACTTGGACTGTACTATAATAGATCCCCATTGCTCTGACAAACTCTCAAAGCCCACAGAGCATAAAACTTGCATAAGGACAATAAAATGCAATGTAATAAAAGCCAAGACTGTGGCGGCAGTTTGGCCAAGCAAGCGAATAAAAAAGGACATTAAAGTTCAATTGATTTAGATAAAGATGTTACAAGAGCTTTTATATTTTGACGAAGAGGCTGAACTTAAAAGTGCAACATTGGCTTTTCACAGCTCTTGGCCATGTTATATTTGTATTACCTTGTCATAGAATTTTAATTTTTGTTTTTGAGTAGTTCATATTTGAAAAAATCCTATGTGCTCAACCAATTATTGACATTGATGTTTGGAGCCAAAATGAAATATCTTTATAGCCATATTCAAATCTCATGGATCATTTTTTATTGCAGTATTGCTGAGATTTCTCACAATATTGTGTTTTTGATCATTTCAAAAAGGTTACACAGGTTTACAGTGTGTGGTTAGAGGTATAAAAATACAAAGCTGCATATCACTTCTTGCGGGTTATTTTTAGAACGTAACCCCTGTGATACATTTTCACTTGTACTGCATATTAATATTGGCTCCATATATCGGTTATCGACCTCCTTTACTACTAGTTATCAGTATCAGCCCTGCAAATAAACTATATCAGTTGATCATTCTTAAGCTGAGACGTCATTGCGACCACCGTTTCCTTTGACCACCAGCACTTTGTTCGATGATTTTCTACTTTAGTGTTCTGCAAGGATTACATCTCAAAGGGAAAAATAACCTGCTGTATTTCATTTCATCAGCAGTCTATGTATTTTCAAAACTGACTTTAAGCATCGATTTCTAATGCACTAAATGTTACGGGTGGAACTGGGAAATTTACATAATAACAAATACAGGCCTGATATATTCTCACTATGCGAATATACACTCACCGGCCACTTTAGCAAGTACACCTTGCTAGTGCCGTGTTGGACCCCTTTTGCCTTCAAAACTGTCTTAATCCTTCGTGGCATAGATTCAACAAGGTACTTTCTTCCTCAGAGTTTGGTCCATATTTGATAGCAACATGATGTTTCTGCAAATTTGTCGGCTGCACATCCATGATGTGAATCTCCTGTTCCACCACATCCCAAAGTTGCTCTATTGGATTGAGATCTGGTGACTGTGAAGGCCATCACAGTACAGTGAACTTATTGTCATGTTCAAGAAACCAATCTGTGATGATTTGAGCTTTATGGCAATGTGTTTTATCCTGCTGGAAGTAGCCATCAGAAGATGGGTACACTTTGGTCATAAAGGGATGGACATGGTCAGCAACAATACTCAGGTGGGCTGTGGCGTAGCAACAATGCTCAAGTGGTACTAAGGGACTCAAAGAGAGCCAAGAAAATATCCCCCACAGCATCACACCCCCACCACCAGCCTGAACCGTTGATACAGGGAAGGATGAATCCATGCTTTCATGTTGTTGACTCCAAATTCTGACCCTACCATCAGACTGTCGCAGCAGAAATCGAGACTCATCAGACCAGGCAACTTTTTTCAATCTTCTATAGTACCATTTTGGTGGCATGAAGGCGCGTGCGCGCCCGGGCTAGGCCCACTGACGGCCGGGATGTGCCGGCTCTCCCCCGCGGGTGCCCGGTGCCGACCCGTGGTCGGCGAGTGGCTGGCGGGACTGCGGCCCGGTCCCGGGGGAGAAGAGCGGAGGCCAGTGGGGACGGACGAGCGACTCTGGGCTTTTATCATCTTTTTTAATGGACCTTTGTAAATATTTTCTTACATTTTATCCCCTTTTTTTCCCTTCTGCTTTTTATTGATTACACCCCCTCAACAGACACTTCAAAACCTGTGACACATGTGGTTTTTTGAGTTACTGTTGCCTTTCTATCAGCTCAAACCAGTCTGGCCATTCACCTCTGGCATCAACAAGGCAATTTCGCCCTCTGAATTGCCGGTCACTGGCTATTTTCTCTGTTTCAGAACATTATCTCTGTAGATCTGAAGTTTCTGAAATATTCAGCCCAGCCCGTCTGGCACCAACAACTATGCCACGTTCAAAGTCACTTAAATCACCTCTCTTCCCCAGTCTGATGCTTGGGTTGAACTGCAGCAGATTATCTTGACCATGTCTACATGCCTTTGATTGCTGCCTTGTGATTGGCTGATAAGGATTTTGCATTAAAGTGGACTTGGATAAATGTACCTAATAAAGTGGCCGGTGAGTGTATATATTAGAAAATATAAATGCAAATTAACTATTTTAACAATATTCTAATTTGCAGAGTTTCACCTGTAAATCTAGACATGTTTAAATAAAAGCATGGTGTGTCTGCTTTATAATTCTTCATTTCCAGATCACTGGGTCTGAATAGACACAGTATATTTCAGCGCTGTTGGCTTCTAAGTGACAGATTGCCTTATGTCCTGGGCCAACGTCTGAAGTTGGCAGGTGGCTGTACAGTTGCTATGCTAATTTAAGCATGATTGTAAAGTCAATGCACAGAAGGCTTACAATCTGTGGATGGTTATTTTGGGGGAAATGGCCTATGGAGTCAGAACAGAACATAGGAGTTTCAAGCCATTACGTGTTCAAATAGTTTCAGGCTCATTTTTCATATTGTCAAATGAATGATACATTTAAATCTAATGAAATATTGTGCATAATTTTTTTCCATTAAAAAAAGAATAATGATACTGATTACATTGTCACTTTAAAGTTTTATAATGGGAAATAATATCTTCAGCAGAAAAGATATGGTGAAACAATTATCAAGGGTAAATAATGCTAATCAAACTGCCCAATGCTACCACAAGAGGGAGGGGTTGAATTTGTTTTGTTTGACAAGAGCCTAAATGGACTAAAAAAAAGCCCAGTCCGAGATTTCAGATGGGGGCGATGACCGCGCAGATGGCCCTTGGACCGTAGTGCAAACTGAGACCACAGCTGATGAAATTAACCGCTTTATCATCAACAAATACACCAAAGCACACAAAGAACAAGCCGCTTTGATCTGCACAGCTCGAACTCGTGGACCAAACATTAAGGATTACAGCAAATAACGAAAAATGTAATTAATTATCTCCGTACCTGTCGCTATGGTTACTTTTTTGACAACAAGGTTTCTGACGCACAGCTATCATCACATCTGCTATTTGCTGATTGTTCTGTTTCTCTGTCAAGCTGTGCTCGTTAGGCCCGCCCCTTTACAATACTGTCACGGTTGTGTTGTGTTTGCCCCTACGAGCTGTGGAGAAAAGACAAATGGGGTGGAGTTATATATTTTTTTGTTCCTGATATTAGCGTGGATGGGTCTAAAATAAACTGCAAGTCCGTTTTTGATCAGGGAACAATCTTGTAACACAAATAAAAGGGAACAGGTTTTGTGGAATGTCTCCTTTAAAGGTGGTAGAACTTAAAAATAAGGACTTGACCATGTTTATAGTAGGATTTTACTTGTCATTTTCACGCTCAAGGTAGTTATTGAGTAACACATATTTATCTTGTTTCCAAGAAGCCATCGCTCCCCTTGGCTCCTTGGGACATATTTTACTTTTCTCCAAAGTCGGAACTCAGCTCCAAACTATATGCTTTAACTGAAACAGGTTTAGCAGTAGATTTTTTTCTTAATTTATGTAAGCTAACATTGACAAATAGAAATGACAGAATATAAATGAATTATTTTGCCCTGAAGGTGCCAGTGTGGAAGAATTGCTGCATGAGCTGAATCCAGGACAGTTTCAACAACCTCGCTTCCCACAAATGTGTCCCAACATATTTTTTACATAATTTTGCATTCATGTTGCAGCGTTCTATTTCAGTTAGAGGGCAGGTACCAACACAACTCAATGATAAGGAAAGTTGAAAAATAAATTATCCATATGCTTTCAATAATCAATGAGTGAAAATAATAATAAGAAAATAATTAGACCATAGTATATATGTGCTGACAAAGAAGAATATGAATGCAACCTATTGCTGAAGAAACTTGCCTAAAGTGTTTTTTCATTAAGGGGATATATTCAACACTGGGTCAAATAATGGCCATATATATTGTTTTCCGAAGGAAGGACATCTCAGTCATAATTATAAAACCATGATCATTTACCTGTCATTGCTGAGGTCTTGTCTCGTGGTCCCGGATGCGTCTGGTACATGTCTGTCCTCTCTCTGGAATCGTGAAGCGGGGGATACAGCTCCTCACTCTCCCGGTGTGGCTGTGAAAGGTCCAAATGCTCCAGATCTGAATCCAGCTCCCTTGCCCGCCTCTCCAACTCCGTCAAACTCAACTCCGAGGCTGCAGACGAAGGCGGGTGGGACCCTCCAAAACCAACAGGTGGGCGTAGCAGTGGCCATCTTTGCAAAGACCCGGAAAGAGAATCTCCGTCTCCGTCCTCCTCTGCTCCTACTTCTCTTCTTTTCTCCCAACCCTCCTCGTCCCATAAGGTGTTCACAATACCTAATACATCATCCCAGCTATCTCCTTCATGTTGATATCGCACAGATTCTACATCAGGCTCTTCAATGCTGAATTTTGCAACAATCTCTTCAAATTCTGTCCCATCATGGCCTTCAAAATCCTGACAAATTGTCACGCCGACATCCGCTTCTTTCTCCATATGGACTTGAATCTCGGGAGTGCTTCTGTGTTGAATTTCCGTGCATATTTCAGGAACGTCTTGCTTTATGTCTGTAATAAATTCTGTGTGGATGTCCAAATTTTCTTTCTCCACGATCACTTTATTTTCTTGTTTTGGTTTGTCTGTACTCTTGTCCTCTGTCGTTTGCTCTTTGGGCTTTTTTGGCTCCTTTTCAACACTCTCTCTACTCTTTGACTTTTTCAAATCATAACCCTCATGCATAACCCTCCAGCTTTCCAAATTTTGCTCTTTCAACGACGCCCTTCCAATCGGACTTATCCCTTGTCCCGTTTCGGAGTGAGAAGGCTCTTTCAGTGAACACCTCCCAACAAGGCCAGTGGAGTTTGTGATATTGGAAAGCGGGTTTTCAGAGTGAGTGAGGTGGTGCTGTCCATGAGGTCGCCTTTTCTCTAGAGCGGACAAGACAGAGGGCAGAGGGGGAAGAATGGGCAGGTTGTGCAGCGCGCCTCCTTGACGAACTGTTCTTTTTCTGACCATGATTCGCCGTGGCCATGTTGACTCTATACCTTCTGGAGGGGTAGGCGACTCTAAACCACGTAGACCTCTGCTAAGCACGCCCGGACGAGAACCAGTAGCAGTCCCTGGTCTTGACCTTGAACTCGACTTTGACTTTGACGACTTGTGTTTGTGTGACTTTGACCCTTTATGGACATGTTTAGACTCTATTTTATCTATATCCGGTTTCTTATCTGGCTTATCACCTGAGTTATCAGGAATTTGTGTGGGAATTTTGTTATCCATTATCCCTTTCTCACTATCCACTTTTACAACATCTTTAGCTAAATCATTTTGGCTGTCATATTTTATTTCTAGTTCATTTACTTCTGGCACTTCTGGCACTGGCTCAGCTGTGAGGATAATGGGTTCTTCTGTTTTAGTTGTATCCTGTGATGTAGCATCTATCAATGCATCACTTTCAATTTTAGCTTTATTCATGCTCTCTACTTCTATCATCTTGTCCTCAACCTGTTTTATAATTTCCACTGGGTTTTCATGTTCTACGACTGGGCTTGACACAGGGGAAGCAGCCTCAATAATATACATTTCTTTCTGAGTTTCTTGCTGTATGTACTCTACAACTGATTCGGCTTTTGATACCTTTGGAGACATATCCACACTCTTTCCTCTGTGTGAATCTCTGTGATGGACAACTGATGACATGCGCTCAACTTGCATCCCAGATTGCACCTTGCCTTCCAAATCCCTCCCAATTGGCCTTGTCTTAACCTGGGATCCCATTTTAACCTCATTTTTGAAGCTAGAACGTGACACATTGTTATGCTTGCTCCAGCTCTCTGCTCTATGCCTCCCCTGCATAGACATCATATCAGCATCAGAACAATGGGAAACTTCGCTTACTAGTCTAGGCAGGCAACTAGGTTTACCATCAACGAGTACCATTCCCCCACCATGACAGTCTTTGGACCCTGCTCTACTCCTGCCCACCGCTCCTGTGCCCATTCGAGGTGCCCCGCTTGGAGATGGAGAAGGTGAGGGTTGAGGGAGAATTAAAGGAGTTGTGTCTAACATAGGATCTGGCTCTAGGAACACTGAATCTCTCTCAGATCTTAATGGAACTGGTCGGCCGTATCCAAATGAACCAAATGAATTCTCTCTGCGCTCTCTTTCTCTGGCTCTCTCCCTTTCCAGCCTGCCTCTTTCTCTTTCCCTCTCCCACTCACGCTGTGCCCATCCTCTCTCCATTTCCCTTTCTCTTTCTCTCTCCCAATCTCGTTCATTTCGTCCCCACCCGGACCCCCCTCCACCTCCATTCCTGTCACGCAGGTCTTGCTCTAAATCATGAGCTGACAATTGCACCAATTGCGTTCGGTAGTCAGCTCGGCGCAACTCGTGTGGCGGAGACATCCTCAGGCTTTGCGTTTGGGAGAAATGTCTTGACGGTTGCATGACCTGAGGTGGAGAGCATCTTAAACTTTGCGTCTGGCTCGGTCTTGGTTTAGCTGGGGAAAAGAATACGGGTGTGTGGTATCCTGAAGACAAGGGCGAACCAGAAAACGGGGAGATGAGAGGGGAGGTTAGAGATGAGTTTGGGCCTGCAGATGGTGGATATTGCCCTGGGTTTAAATACGCGCCTCCTCTGTCTATCATATCTGCAGTGGTCAGCTCCATACAGTCCACATGCGTTGGTGGTGTTACAACTTTCCATGAATGCCTGCTATCTCTACTCTTAGTGCTTTCTCCATGGTGATGATGATGGTGGTGGTAATGATGTGGCTGCTGCTGCTGCTGCTGCTTTTTGGAGGAAGAAGTTGAAATCCCGGGTGCTGAAAAGGACGACACAGCCGGGGAAACCGATCTATAGTCACCAGCCGGTGGACACATGCCATCAATGTCATGACCTTCCAATTTCAATGAATCAAAAATTGCACGTTCATCTAATCGTCGCACAAACGAAGGATTGGGAGTGAGAGAGCGAGGTTGCTGGTCGAACAGGTCACCTGGAGCTCTGCTCATTCTCAACGAGCCGCTTGTTGAGTAAAAGCTGCTATCGCTTCCAGCATCGCACCGCATGGACCCTCCGTGATGGTGGTGGTGGCTGTCAATTTGCTGGTTTATGCACATAGTGTCATAGATAGACCTTTGAGGTACATAGCCATCCCCGTACCCTCCGTCCACGCTTACGTCCCGCCCTCCCACGCCCACGTCAGCGCCAAACCCGTGCTTCTCCAGGCAGCAAGAGCTCTTCCTGAAACACCCGGGCCGGCTCAGAGGCTTGCCCATGATTGGATGGCTGCCTGACGGTGGGAGGGACTTGTGGGAGGCGCGAGAGAAGTTAGAAGGGTGAATGGTGAAAGTTGGTGCGTGTTACTAATTTTGGGAAACTTGATCCATGGCAATTGCGATCGCAAAGGCCATGGTAAAAAAGGAAATATACAAAATTTTAAAAAGTCTTCAGAAAATCACTATCCTGGAACTCCGGTGAAAAGATCCATAATATATTTAATGTGCGTATGAGCTTAGTCCCTTATCGCCGTCATAGCTTAACTTGAAATAGACATTTTTCCATCCAGCTTATATGTCCACGGCATTGTTAGTACATTTTCACTCTCACTCGTGTTGGCTCTGCTGCGTTTGTATTTATTCTTGTTGTTTATTGTTCGGGCTATTTGTTCCAAGCCAATTAAGTCTTTATCCAACGAAACGATTGTCAGTCAGGCCTGGGCAAAAAAGACTATTCAAATCTCCTCTTTTCATCCACCGTTCTTTGTTGATTTTGTTTTTGGCTGCAGGAAAGCAAACAAACAAACAATTCAATTTAATTTAATTACAAAACATCTTCAAAAGCCTTTGGTGCAATAGCACAGTGGGGTGGATTCAAAAGAACAGCTTATCTTGTAAAGTGTATGTAAGATGGGAACTATGAACTTTTCTGATGGTAGTTGCACATCTGAAATGTTAAATGAATATATTATATAGACTCATTACATGCAAGGACAAATGCCATTCCTTTGTTTGTTATATTTTTGATGATTATCGCCTACTCTCCATTTTGAAAATATTCCTTATTTTCTCAGGTATCTTTTTTGGAGTTTTTACTGTCAGCCAATTATCTCCATTATAACAAATAAAGGCTCGATCTATCTCACTTTGTGTGCAATGAGTCTGTTTCATTTAGTCTCTCTCACATTGTTGAATTACAGAAGTAAAAAAACTTTTTAACGATATTTTAATTTTCAAAGTTTCACCTAGATCAAAATGATTCAAAACTGCTTGATGAATCTCACATCTTGTCCTGTTTGTGATTTTATATATACTGTAAATACTTACTAAAACTCGTGGATCTGGTTTTGTCATTTATTTTACTATTATAGTCTGATTTGCTGACAGATAAAACAGAGTTTAGTGAAGTTTTTGTATGTTGACAGACCCAATAAATACAGATGAACCACTACAACACTTCCGACAGCAAATTCAACACTTGCATTGTGACCTGTCCTTCAGCTCAGTTTTACATTGATTCTGAAATATTCTATTATCATTAGCCTGCCTACATCATATTGATTGCCTGCTAGGAAGTGTGTTGGCCATTATCACATTTTCACTAAGTCACAGTTGCAGCCCTTTAGACCAGCCATTTGTACATAAGCTGCTTTAACGATTCATTTGTGTATCGTTAAAAATGGTCAGTCTAGCACTTTCCCCTTAATTATGTCCCCCACCACGCATCCCTCTGTTATAGGCTCTAAAAGTGCAGTCAAATTACTCAGGGGTCTTGTTAATTTCAATATAGCCATTAAAGTTTAAAACACAAGCAGAGAAAGTAAAGCCCAGAGCTGCTTTTAGTCAGTAAAGCTGGTTTAGACCTTAGATTATGGGTTTAAGCGAATGTATAGAAAGACTCTAATAAATGCTAAAGCTGTGCTGTTTATGAATGGTTTTTCAAATACTTACAGGCACAGCTTGTGTTTCACAGCAAAAAGCCACCTCCAGACAGCGCTTTTCTGTTTGGAGTTTGCATGGCCCTGTGTCTGAAAAGGTTTCTTCTGGATGCACTGGTTTCCCTGACCACTAAAAACATGTACAATAGATCTGAATGTAATGAGTGAGTGAATCAGCGACGTCGATCTTCTGACCATCTTCCAGTGTCTCGCTCCGTCATCACTGTGTGTGGAGTGAATGTAAAATATAGCTAATCCAAAAAACATGGTAAAGCCCTTTGTGTGACCTTTGTATGTAAAATGCGCTATATGAATAAAGATTACTTTACTTACTGTTCGCTAGTATTTTAAGGACCATTAGAATACTATTTAAAAGTCCATTCGCTTTTGCAATTCAACTCACAAAATAATCAATATAAGACAGACTCATACATCCGGAGTGTGTATGAGTGTGTACTATAATAATAATTATTATAAAAACCCCTAATAAAACATCTTAATAAATTACAATATTTTGAAAATGGACTGTAAGCCGTGATCATCCAAATCAAATCACAGGTTTGGCATATGTCACGTTGCATGTAATAAGTCAATACATTGGTTGAACATTTTTAAGTTGAATTACAGAAATAAATACATTTTTGAAGGATATTCTAATTTTTTGAGTTCCACCTATTCACTGTTGTCTTTAAACCTGCCAGGATTTTTGCACATTAAAAATTCTAATAAAATGCTCAAAGCAATCACACCTCCATCTTCTATGTGTGAAAGACCATTACTAATATTGACTGCAATTTGATTTGAAGGAAATGGACAGATTGCGTTTCAAAGCCTTACCAACATAAATGTATTTTGTAAGTAGATGAAATATAGATGCAACAGTCTGTAAGTGAAGAAGATAATGAAATATATGATGCCTCAAAAAGCAATTAATTTTCAAATAGTCTTGACTAAGTCCTGACCTTGTTGAAATGCACCAAACAATAATAGTTTGTATAGTAAATATATGCATAATATTAACATTATTATCCACCTAAAAACGGCTTGATCTGGTTTTCAAAAAATGAAATGAGCAAAAGAATTTCAAGTAGTTACATAATCCCACACAGAAATCAGCCAAAAAAGATCTCAAATGTTCCTTCCCACTCAACAAATCGAGCTAAAATAGCTATTTGCGTGCACTGCTGGTGTCTATCTAATTAGCAAGAACTAGATAAAATCATCTCCCTATCTCCACAGTGACTATTTTCTTAAGCATCCCCGCTCTCCATCTCCCCATCGACACCTGCTCCATCTTCAAAGGAAAAGTCACAACCTTAGCGAGCTCCAACACCTGGCTATAATCCGACAGTGCGTTGCTATCGTAAGTCCACAATGAAAACGGCGTCTTTGAAGGGTTTTTTGCCTTACCGGTGTCTGTTTGCTGTCGCTGCTGTCGTTTCGTACATCTAGGCTGCTCCTTTCGCGCTCCCTCCCCTCTCTTCCTAGCTCTCTCCCCTCTGCTAGCTCCAGAGTGAATCATGCCTTCTGTCAGTGGAATGGTTTTTCTTTTTTTTGACAAGCGCACAGCCAGCCAACGAACCAACGCACACACACTCCACCACCTTTTTCCTCCATCTCTTTTCCCATTCACTTCCAATACAACCCCCTATCCATCTCCCATCTATTCCTCTATCCCTCCTAAAGCTTGGGGGCTTTATGATCTTCTCCTTGGCGATATAAACTTGTCCCATCTGCTGCTGTTCCTGTCTTTCTTCCCTTCTTCAATCCCTTCTTCCCATATACCCTCATTCTGTCTGGATTTAGTTTGACCTGATCGAGCCCCCTCTTGGGAAATCATCACGGCTAAACGCTTTAGAAATGAGCCGACGCATTGTAGTAGAAGACTGTGCAATTAATCAAATGTATATTCTAAATCATGATTGCGTTTGTTTCTTATTTAACCACACTTAAAGGGGCCGTATGTCGATTGTATATTTTCATTCAAAATAACATCTACAGCTTTTATGTAAGTAACTAAGTAATCTTTATTTATATAGCTCATTTTGACAGACCAAGGTCATCCAAAGCGCTTTACAATGAGTGGATAGTACTTTCGCCTCTCAGCAAGAAGGTCCTGGGTTCGAATCCCGGTCGGAACAAGGCCTTTCTGAGTGGAGTTTGCATGTTCTCCCAGTGTCTGCTCCGGTTTCCTCCGGGTGCTCCGGTTTCCCCTACCACAAAAAATATGCTCACTAGGTTAAATCCTCCAGCTCCGGTAGTCCTGACCAAGCCGAGCTTTAACATTTGGAGATGGGTTCCCGGGCGCTGTTCTACGTCGACAACTGCTCCTGACGTAAGCCTTAGTGGTATCAGGAGGTGTCAAATGCAGAGGACCAATCTCCCTACGGGCCCAATGAAGTGCACATTTACATTTACATGTATTGTTCCATTCACGGTGATGACGGAAGTGCGTCGTCGAACACACTCGCCCATCAAAGCCTCCAACCAACAAAATTCATTCACTCACTCACTATTTACAATAAATGTTTACCTATTGTGCATATTTTTAGTGGTAGGGGAAACCAGAGCACCTGGAGGAAACCTACGAAGACACGGGGAGAACATGCAAAATCCATTCAGAAACACAACTCTGATTACCCGTTTCAGGACCATTTATTTCATTATCCACTTAAAAAATGCTGGAACCTGGTGCCAAAAACTGGCCCAGGACAGTTGCACTTTTTAAAAGTAAGTAATTGAGAAAATGAAACAAAGTTGGTCTAAACAGATAGAGAAAAAATAGGTTAGTTAAGAAGCTAATGAATGCTAACTGGCTCTGGACCTGCTCTGGTGTGAAACCAAACTGAACCAGTCCAGAACCAGTATTTTGGTGGAAAAGCTCATTAGTTGTATACATACATTCATAGAAACCTCTCTGAGTGTCATAGTGGTCAATGACATTATACTATAACTATAACTGATGCCGCTTTCTTGCCATTGTGGAAACTCTGAAGCTCTGACCAACTCAATGGAAATGAATGCTGCTCAAGTTGGAAATTCAACTTGGAAACTGGGGCTGAAACTGGGGCTGGGTCAACGATCCATGAGTTCCTGAGTTTCCTGCCGTTGTCTGTGGCACGCATCAGATTTTGATTGGATGAAATAATAGAGAATAGAGACATGTGTTTTGTATTGTAGTGATGTTTTATAATAAATGCTAAAAATTATAACCAGTGAATCTATGGTTTTACAGAAAAATCTTATCTTTATATGTATAAGCACCTTTTATCTAACATATTTGACCCTGTATATCTGCAATCACAACAGTTAAAGTTTCTGTGCCTTTCTCATGAACGAGGA